GCAACATGTATAAAATACTAACAAATAACAAATGTAACTCGAGCTTCATTTCATATTACAAAACATATAATTCGATCCTAAAAAAAGTAATCAAACAAGCAAAAATTATAACAAATGATAAGTACATTGCAATTGCACGTCATGAAACAAAAGCCATGTGGGGACATTATTAAAAAGACTACAGCACAACTAATAACAAAAAAACATAGAGCCCACTACAAAACAAAACTGTACAAGACCACAAGAAATAGCTGATATATTCAATGAACACTTTTCACAAAGTAGTAATATGTTAATCTCTCAACACTCTCTAAACAATAAAACACACCACAACAAACACTAATATTACACAGATTGTAAATTCATATATTTTATATGAAACACCCCCTCTGAAATTTTTAAAATCATTGGACAAATGGAGAAATAAATTCTCAGGCAGGCATGGACAACATTCCAGATTTTTCTTATTAAACAGTGCTCCATGTATAGTGCAACCACTCTCTCACATCTGCAATTACTCTCTAAAATCAGGCATATTTCCAGATATATTCAAAAACAGCAAAAATTAAACCATTGTTTAAAAAGGGCAATACTTATGACCCAATGAACTACAGGCCTATTTCCTGTTATCAGATTTTCAAAAAATTCTGGAACGACTTTTCAATTGATAGACTCAAACAGTTTCTCAATGCAAATAATGTCCTTACAAAATGCACAACATGGCTTCAGGAGTATAGTCCACAAGACACAGCCATCTTCTCCTTTTTAAATGACATACTTGTTGCACTAAATCAGAAGGAAATTCCCATTGGCCTTTTCTTAGATTTGTCAAAAGCCTTTGACATCATTGCCATCATATACTTTTAAGAAAACTAGAAATGCTAGGGATTCGAGCATTGCAGGCCAATGGATCAAAACATATTCATCAAACGTAGCAAATAGTTGCCTCCAAACACTAAAGAAAACAAAATCTCCTCATATACTCTGTCCTCAATATAAATTATGGAGTCCCGCAAGGAATCCATCCTGGGCCAATACTATTCCTTATATACATAAATGACATGCTTTGGCTTTAAGGAACAAAATAATTTTTTTTGCAGATGACACAAACATCATCATCAAAGCAAAAAAACAACAATCATTAGAAAAGAAAACCCACAAAAACTTTGCCAGCACTAGTAAAATGTTTCAAGACAACCAACTCATCATAAACACCAGCAAGACAGTCTCTCTAAATTTCATGAATCCTCGATCTAAGAAAAACTCTCACAGCACTTGCTCATAAACAATAAGCCTGTAACGATATCTCATGAAACTACCTTCCTCGGACTAACACTTCAAGAAAACCTATAATGGAACCACTCACATCTCAATCTTAAACAAGAAGCTCAGCAAATTTGCTATGCCCTATACACCTCAGGTCAAGCTCCAACATTGAGACAACTTCGAACAATGTAATTTTGCAAATGTGCACTCAACTAAAATAGGAATAATATTCTGGGGAAATGGCCCCCTGAAAGCACTCGCACATTTATTATCCAAAAAAGAATACTGCGAACAATGACCAGCCTCATAAGCTGAGTCTTGCAAACCCCTTGTTTAATAAATAAGGATTCTTCCTCTACATGTATGTACTATTTGAAATAGTGGTCTTCACTAAGAAAATTCTCATGGAAAACAAAGACACTTTTACTTTAAATTTGATGTCACATAACTACAACACCCAGTCAAAGGATAACCTACACGTTCCCCACTCTGAAACTACACTTTATCAAAAAAGTAGCCTTAATAGAGGGCATTACACTTTACAACAAACTAGGCACATGATATCAAAGACATAACACAATTCATACATTTAAAATCAAATTGAAAGCTTTCCTGCTTAACAACATGTTCTACAGTGTAAAGGAATTTTAAATTACTTTCCCTTAAAAAATATAAATAAATAAGATTTTCTTATTCCATTAGTCTTGTTCATGTGAACTGTTTCAAGCTGAAGCAAAGAAAAAAGAACTGCATATCACATCCTGTGAAATAGAAGAAGAAAAAAACTGGTCAAAACTTGCCTCCTCACCATTTCAAGTTATAAAATATAGAAGTTACTACTATTGTTAAATTGATGTAGTTGCAAACATAAATGATATGTATTATTAATGTAATTATTTATAAGTAGTAGGCATTAAAATATCATATTGAATGTTAATTATTAGCAGATAAATTATCTACTGTATAATATCTTAATCTAACTGCTAACAAGTATTGTATTTCTAGGCCAATACCCATCTCGATCAGGTTTTTTGTTCAGTTCCTGATCCATTTGAGCAAATGCTGAGATGACTCCTTGTTGCTCCTGAACAGTAATATAACTTCCTCTCTCTCCACCCAGGCCATCTATTAGACTCGTCATACACGATTGTAATTGTATATGAGACTCAATAAATATTATTATTATTATTATAGATAATTAATGATAATATATTGTATTTAAGACAACACATAATGTATTCTGTATTTTCAGCTCAATACGTATTGCTGAACAAAAAACTAACATAAGAATAGATAATAAAAATCGTTCGTCTCTAAGATTGAGCGATCCAGATGGCGCTGCATATATTGGAAGTATAGATTTATTATAATTCTCCCACATTTAAATTTAAGCTCACACCATTGATCTCTACCACATGGGGACTTTAGCTTTCTATAGTTCTTAATTCCCCGTGAAACACAATTTCTTAGGTGGTACGGTGTAGATATAAGTTGATCTATGTGGCGTTTGAAGACATAACTATCAAGCTTAACCAAATAATATAAATTTTTTTCGTGATCATTCCAAGCCTCCACTGTACAATATGAATAATAGTGGGCTTGTATGCAATCTCCCACACTTAATTGTCGTGCTAATTTGTTAGAAAGTTGTTTTGTTTGACTTTCATTGGTTTCAATGCACTCAATTTGATTCGAATTTGTCTATGTAGATATACTTCTGTAATAAATCTGCTGGAGATTTCCCACCGTTAAATCGCGACGCAAGATATCGGAAAATAATTTCTCGTACTTAAGTCTGCACTGGCATAGACTCGTCGATTATTGCTGTTAATCTCTTCAGTGCCTGCACCAGAGAGTAAATAAAACTGGCAATCCTGAACCTTGTGGTACTGAACGAAGATCATATACAAGATAAAGATACGTAATCAACTTATGATTTTTGGAATTGTAACCTTGAACATCCTAAGTGAAAAGAAAAGGCCCATTCACAATGCAAACAAAAACATAGCCATATCGCGTAGACGTAAACGGTCATCCCCATGAACTTTTACTCCCTACACGTCCCATATAAAAGTAAATGTAACTTCACCCACTGCACTAAAAAATGTATGCGATTGAACTCCCTGTAATTCTATCATATTTGACTCGTCATAGACGATTGTAATTGTGTATGTGACTCAATAAATATTATTATTATGGGAGACTATTATTAGAATATGTGTTTAGAATGTTAGAAATCCTATAAGAAATAGATTGGATACAAATGTAAATAGTTGCATATGCTACAAAACATGAATTATGTTTTACGGATTTGAAAAAATCTGTGCAATAGAAAAGAACAGGCTTAATTTTCAGCTCACCAAAATGTATAAAGACAAGTCAAAATTATCAAATCAAATTTTTAGTTATAAACCAGTGAATTATGAAAGATGCTTTGTTATCAGTGAAATTATGCTTGAAAATTAAATCTTAAAATAATGTAAAGGAAGTCTTTGTCCAAATAATTGTTTCGCGTAAGTTGCAATGAAATTGGAGCAAGTAAAAAATGCATGAACAAGATTTTATTGAGAACATTAGGCCTACCATAGATTATTTTCTCATGTACTTGTGTATATAAATAAAAAAATAGATAATTAGAGAAGAATTAGAAGTGCTCCCATTAATAAATAACAACAATTCAGGGCCCGATGGTCCCAACATCTACACAGAATGAGTACTGACCGTGTCCCAAAACAAATATATCACTACATACTTCATGGTAAAATGGATGTCGGCCATCTAAGATTAAGATGGTATGCTGAAGATGGAACAGGAAACTCCTAATCCCTGAAGAGATGATGATGATGACTTGTGTATATAGGGAGTTATACCAACTAAAACATTTACACAACCTTCTGTATGTGTCCAAGGCTTCCATGCACAAATCCCACTGCTGTTAGCAGCTGTCCTGCTATCAGTAAAGCAAATTTTCAAAAATATCTTTCTCTTTGCTGCAGCAGTCGGCTAATCAAAGAAACTGCTTGTGAAGGCGTGAAAAGGGTACGAAATGACATGTCTTGGACAACCGAGCTAACCTCTCCCTTCTTGCTGTGATCCACTGCCATGTAGAGGTGCCTGCTCCACTGAGCAGTTTCTTTGAGTACCCCGACTCTACTGCAGATCTGAGAAAGATACATTTTTGAAAATTCCTTTGGCAAGAGAGGAAACAGTATAATTGAGGAACTTGATCTCTACACCAAGAACCTTGGTACAGAAATGGGGCCAAGGAATACTATGGACAATCATGTACAAACTGTTCAAACTGTATGGATAGTTTTTGTGTAATTTTGCATGAAATAAAAACAATTTTAAAATCAATATTTTCTAAAAATGGCTCTAAATTTATTTTTGAGAGAGAGCAAAGGAAACTTTAAAAAAAATAAAAAGAAGTGGAGCAGGTTTCATCGTCATTGAACTCTGAATTTCTGAACAAATAAAATGAAAAACTAGTAAGTGTTAATGTAGCACCACTTGTTTTGGTATCAGAGACCCACAATATAAATTCATGCGGTGAGAATCATTTCCGCTGCTCCATTTCTACTCTTTCTCTAGAGTTGACATGAGTAGTACCTATGTGAGAAAGTAAAACTTGAGGGAAATTGTTGTTGGTCCCACAAGTGTCTGGAAATAAATTTGTAAATACAAGTTACCTAGTAGTTAATGTGCAATTTAACTGGTCCTTCTTACCATTTAGCTATATTTCATTCTCATCCGTTAAGTATAATTTTGTCCATGGCATTTCTTGACTTCAATTGAGCATTGATGAATTTTTTTTTAGAGCAATTATGGGTGAATTTTCAGAAACATTTACATTAAAGACAGGTTAACAGTATAGCCTGTCTTGCCCTATGGTGCTACTACGGTTAAGGCATTAGTGATACATGCTTGACCATTTTAATATAACATTAACTTTTTATAACTTAATAAAACTGATCACATTGTGAAATATGTTTGTTTTTTCCAGAATTAATTTTTCAATATCGGTACAATTCACCTGCTTTATTTACAGAAAATATTCTAGACTAAGAACAATATACGTTAATTTATTGATAACACAGCAATAATACAAAATAAATAACTTGTTACAAAAAAAAACAAACACAAGATAGATTCTAAAATTAATTTATTTTAGTTACAACCAGAGCTACTTTATAAATAAACTCGTGGCCAACAGGAAAGGGGTCCCTGATATTTGGCAATTTTCATGTTTAAATTCATATTTGGCAATTTACACACTTTTTAAAAAGTAATAAAATAATTGCCGTATATTTTTGATACACATCTTTTGGAGAATCGTATTCCATGCTAATTGGGCTTTAGATAATAAATTTTGCAAATTGCAATTTAACAATTCTTGAATTACACAATATTATAACTTCTCCTTAATTATTTTTAATCATATTTTCACCATAATCAAACCTATAGCAGTTTATTTTCTTTAAGCTACTTAATCCAATAACCCTTTTAAATAAAACAAGGCTCAGGTAGCTCTGGGCTCTTCAACTAAACATTGGAATAGTTATGAAATGGAAAAGTTTAATAGGTCTTCTATGTTTTATTTCAAAATTTCACTCAATAACAATGCATAATTAATTCCAGTGCATTACTTCTCATTTTCATATTTAAGGTATTACACACAGCAATTATCAGCTGTGAAATTAAAGTATATTTATGATTTTAATATAATGGAGTAAACTAGAATAATTTTTTGAAATTCAATATATGTATTAAAACATGCATTAAAGATATCTTAAATCAGTGTAATGCAAGACATGAATCTCATATTACATTTTTAATGAAGCTTTAAGTAATTATCATTTATTACAATTTTCTAACTTCTTTAGTACAAACCTCCAGCAAAAGCATGCCGCTGTGCCCCATCCATTTCTGAAGCTAATCTATTAGAAGAAAGCAAATGATGGTTTGAACCACCGATAGCTTCTCCACATTCTGGACATTTAGCAACCTCCATTGCACCACCACATTCACCAATACAATATATGTGTCCATTGGGACACTTGAACCAATGCCCTTGTCTTAGCCCAATTGCTTGTACTATCTCCTTCCTTTCACGCTCACTCACCACAATATTTCCGACAGCTTTCTTTAAAGTATTAATTATGTTCTTCAATTCAACATGTTTTTTATCAGAATAAATTTCAATTGATAGTAAAATAGAACATGCCTTTTGATATAGTGTCTTCACTGATACTTGAGAAACTAAATATGAAAAATTAGGTGAACTCTCTATTACAGCCAGCTGGCAAGCTCCAAAGAAACGTTTACATTCTCTATTAAAATCAGATGTTTCCTGAGCACTAAAAGAACCGTGACGTTTTTGAATTTTTTCCAGCAAAAAGTCAAACTGGTTAAAAAGTTTCTCTGCAACATTTTCTTTCAATGGTATTTTAGATTTAATAATGCATGTGTCAATACTGGTAACCAAATCACTGAAAATTTCAATTTCACTTTTAATGCTTTGCAGATCTCCTTGACTTAAAAAATGACGACGATTGTTTTGTACCTGATTCAATTGGACAGAACACATCGTAAGCAACTCACGATATTTCTTGCTCCTCATTGTCAAAACTCCTTTCAACGAAAGACCTACAAACAAGATAAAAGAAAACAAGTTCTAATTATGACATGTGTAAAATCCTGTGGTCCATTATGAATGAAGGGCATTTATTGGAATATCAATAATAATTAGTATTACAGCAACTGTCATGGAATGTTTGTATTGAACATGTGCAAGTTTTTGCAGAATTTGATCTTCTTTGAAAATGGTTTCAAGGTTGTGAAAAAAGTGAAGTTAAGTGATGGGTTGGCAACAGGAATAATAAAGGTGGTGAATTATTTGTTTCATCTCTGAAGTAAATTGAGAAAGAGATTGCACCAACAATTTATGATAAATTTATAAGAGAAAATGAATTGGACTTGATGATATTTTAGGAATTTTATTGTCATATTAAAGAAGAGGAAAGTAACACGCTTTTGAATTGACCGAGTTCTCAGATACATAACAATTACATTGCACCCCATGCCCACTCCCTAATTAACTTGACAATGAAGTTTTCACACACAGAGTATAAAGATCTTGGAGATAGAAAGTTTCAACGTTTGTGTCAACATCACAGATGTACAACAATATTTCAATCTGGACATTTATTATTTCTAAAACTATAAGGTCAGATTTTGAATGAAGACTTCCACGATTAGAGAGCATATTCTCAGCTGACCAAGATATGCACAAATATGTCTGTCACATGGCATCTTCTGGACAGCCAAGTACAATCTATAAATATAATTTTGATAGTAACTTAAATGTTTTTTTTATAAATATTTGCAGATATGAAATTATTACTCCTAAATCAAATATTTAGAAGACTGTTATCCTGTAGAGCAATTTAAATGAATTTGACATGTGTATTACATGAACATTGTTTGAATCATAATCAAATATTTCATCCTGGCAAACATAGTAATGGATAGGGCTAGGATTTTGATGATTTTGCATATTACTGCCTAAAATATACTGAAGCAAAAATGTACGAATCATAAAAAAAAAATAACAATACAAGATATAAAATCCTTATGACCATAAATATAAAAGAAGGCTGATTCAAAGGACTGGGCCAGTGGAATGAATTTAGACTATTTAGTTGACTGCAAACATTGCAGAAACGATATTTCCATCATCAGGGCATGTACAAAATCAAAAACTCACAATAACCTGTTAATTAATTACTTAAGTCAAAAGTGACGTGAAGAAAATTTGTAAGGAACACCACACCAATGCAACACACAAAGATATTTACATAAAAGTTCCTTTCAAAAAGAGTGTAATATTTTATGTAAAATCTTTTAAATCTACTGCCATGAAACTTCACACAGCATAGAAATGTGTTTCACAGAGAGGTTTCTTTTTTTTTCTTTTTTCTTTTTTTCTTTTTGTTATTTAAGGTCGCATCAACTACTAGGTCATTAGCGACCACTATTGCTTGCAACGGTATGGTAACTGTGGGCTGACACGATAATGATGATGATAGGGGGTGAAATAACGAAACACAATACAACCATGCCCGAGGCGGGACTCGAACCTGCGATCCTTCGGTCGGAGTTCGCTATGGCACTACTGCCTTAGCGATCTCGGCCACCGGATCGGCGAGAGGTTTCTTGTATGTCACAGAAGAGGGCAGTTCACCTCATAGAATGTATCAATGAGAAAAGTGACAATGGTTGATACGAAGATGAGTTAAAATTACATCCTCATGCCTTGCAACCCAAGATGAGAAACACCAAGGAAGCCTAAATCACTCTTAATTTAAAAGTAGTTTTGTGCCATTTTATCTGACCGGCACTGAGAGGGCCTTTCAGAAACACCCTCAAATCTGATGAAGGGAGAGGGTATGTCGATATCAGGTTTCTGGGATGCTGATTTTGCAGCCTAGTCAGCTAACTTTCTTTCTGTATAGGCCAAAACCCAACAAAGTACTCATGGTAGCAAAATATTAGACGACGAATCACCATTGCCAAGTAGTCTGAGGGAAAACAAGAGAGCTGAATGAATCTGAGTAGAGCACTTGTTACAATTACGCTGCCTCAATATATTTAAGGGCTCTAGTTATTCATTGGGACAGTCTGCTCAGGAAGGTGGAAAGGTCAATATTGGAACAAAGAATTGATTGAATGACCTTTAGAGAGCCCCTGAAATAGTACACTATCACATACTGGATGTCGACAGAACTACTATTGAGCTTTTCTTCTTCTTGTGTGAGTGTGACTGAGTAAGAGAGTGAGTAAGTTGTATGTTCAGGGCCATTTAGTGCTGTGACCACAGAAATGCATTAATGGGAATACATCATGTTTAAACATTTCACAAATGCATGATTAATTCGACAAAACAAAACACATTTTCATGGCAAACAGTTTGCAAACTGAGCTATCACGGTTGCAGTTTATTACATTTAGACCCAAACAACACATTTTTGGAAGTGACGTGAAGCAGAACCCTTGTCATTTTCATTATGATTTTACTAGTATTTTCTTTCCAATCCAACACAGAAAGCGGGTAACCAAGTAGCACATAATAATCTTTTGTTAATCCTAACGTCTTCCTTTTTAATTTTTAAATTAATACCCTCATAAGTAGTCATTTAGATCCTTTAACATACTTATTACATCATTTTTTAAATTCTTATTTACCAGGGGTTTGGCACTATTTCTATTTGGGGTTTCTAGAGGGTCACCCATCTAGGGAATCTCACCACCTAACATCTGTAACTGCATGAAGCATAGTTAGGAGCTTGGCTACCGATGCCTGCAGCATAACTTTGCTTTTATACGTAAGCACATTGCTTTTACATGTAATGCTAGAATGTCACACTTTAAGCAAATATGTGGAAAATTAAAGGATATCTTGACTAGGATCATCACATGGATATAACAAAAATTGAAGCAAAAGTTAATGTGAAGAGGCCTTCTTTGATGAAGTTCAAAAGTTTGAAGTTTGCAATTGGAACGCATGCTTTTCAAAAATGGCAACTTTGAAATTGTTACAAAATTACAAACTATTATTGATACTAAAATTTTGAACCTTAAAAAAACATTTCTCACACAATAATCTACAGGATGCAATGTTTTTGAACATTCTATTTTATTTTTTGGGGGGAAGGGATATGAAGGGAGAGAAAGGGAGATGACGAGCAGAATAACACTGCCGAGTTCCACTAGTTTGATAGAAATAAAATTTTTAAATAATGAGGAAGAAATGGATTAAAGAAGAACTGTGAGAAATTCATAAAACAAACTTGCAAAGAAATGCCTGAGTCAAAGCTCATTCCTTTGCCCTTTTCTGACTTGGTGGAATGTTTTATTAAACAGCAACATATTATATTAATATAATTGTTTGAATGAAAAAATGAAACAAATGAAGGGGGAAAATATCCCAGGAATCTGCAGAGAACACATGGTTTATGGTAAGTGGAATAGGTGGATTGGCATAAAAGGTTAAAAGTGACCCAATGAAAAATATCAAAATTACACTAAGTGATGAAAACACCTATGACTTCTGCAGGACCTAAACCTACAGCTAACACATCTGTGTATATGGATGAAGATCGAAGCCCAAGACACTGAGGGAAGCTCAGCTACTCTTAATAACCACGTAAGTCAATGCTTGCAATTCTGAGAGATAGAGCTTGTCTTCAAGTTGATACTTCAAAAATATAAAATATCGTTTAAGTCTAAATCTAAAAATGAATATTAATAAAAATTGAGGTACTTACTATCCATTTCTTTCACAGTTCTAGAGAGCTTCTTTCTTTCTTTTTCCAAGGAATTTATTTCACCAAAAACTTTCCTCTTCACTCGTGATGTGTCAATAAACTTCTGTTTCACATAATTCATGAAACGCTGTGTTTGAATAATGGGTGTTTTGCACCGAGGACATGTTTTTTGGACGATTTCTCGATCAGACTGCTGCAACCATGTTTCCAAACCTTCTGATTCCATTGTGTGTTTACAGTCCACCAAATACACAAACCTATATTTGTTTTTTTTTTTTTTTTTTTCAGTATTAATTCAAAAATAAATTTATAATTTATTTAAAAGATTCAATTGATACCTTGCATTTTCGTTGTCTTCGTTTCCAAAGAATACTTCTGTTACTTCCTCTTCATCACACGTTCTGCAGAGAGGAGGACAAAAATCACCACAAAAACCAATGCAATCATGTCCACATTTCAGTTTCTTCTTGCAAGGTTCGTAGCAAGGTTCGCGATCACACATCTCGTGGCATTTTTTATTGCACCGGAGATGCTCACAATTCCAATTACATCGTTCCTAAATATAAAAATATAGTCAGAATACATAAATATATATTTACTTTGAGGGGGGGAGAGAAAAAACCACCTAACCTGGCATGGAGCACATGGTTCTCCACATTTTCGATTACATCTTGAATGCTTGCATTTATATTGACACTTCGCTTTGCAAGGGGGACATGAAGCTGAACAAGGAATCTTACACCTGAAAAATTAGGGATCACACCACCTGATTACTACGTGCAAATCTTAGTTGAGTTATTTAAAACAAATTGATTAATTAAAGATTGATTTATACTTATTGCAATTAATCCATATTTTCTGCTTCAATACATTAAAAATTTATGATAATTTTTTCCAGATTCAATGTTTTGGAATGATAACCATTTCATTAATTATTTTAAGATTTGATGCACATAAATAGTTTCTTGTACTACTTGGTAACCCATTAAAGTACAATAAGACATTCTAAAACGTTAAACATTAATACTTACTTGTGTCCACATACAAGACTGCGATCACATTTCTGTTTACATACAACGTGAATGCGCCCTTGCATGCACTCTCCGCAAGTTCCTTGACAATAATGTCCACAGGAGAGCGATTGTCCACATGGCATTTCACAATAAGGTAATAAAAGATGTGATTTTGCATCAGCAGCTGAAAAGTTATCACGTTTGAAAGAGGAATAACCTTCAACACCAGGTTAAAATGTCACGAGTCTCTCTAACCAAAAATGAAATTGAGTAAAGTAAGTGTGGGTAACAAGAAAATTCATTTGTAACATACTTAATTTAGTTTACTCTTAATATTTATTTTGGTTTATTTTTTAAACAGCATAAAAAATTGAATGTTTTACTTCACAAGGTCAATGAATTACAACGTGTATAATTAAATTTTAAATATAAATGACATAATAAGCATTTTTTTTTTTAGTAATTTAAGAATCAGTTGTATACCCAAGCTATGGAGTATCAGGATCCAACCTACTAAATTTGCATATAATACTTCGATAATTTCACATTCCCAGTCTATCTGTGATTGCAAAAAAGTATAAACTAGCGGTGCCACAGACTTTCTCGTACTACTTAGTTTTTAAATCTCTTTATTCTTGGCTAGCTTTTTGGTTTTGAACTACTCTTTTCACGGCTGCCAAACCTTAAGTCAATTTTCTAATTTTTACAATTACTTGGTTGACTAATAGTAGAACTGAAATACGTCTGTAAGAATATTATAAAAGAGTAAAACAAGGTTCTATACGCTAATTTTTGTTGAAATATTTGGAGCCATTTTTGAGAAAACATTTTAACATTTTTGTAAAAGAACCTTTTTGAGCTAATTTTCACAGAAAATTTTTGAACTTTTGAAAAATCTTTATTGGAATTGTTTGAAACACTTCTTTTCACAAATGTAATAATGTATAAAAAAGTCAGTAATGTAAACATTAATGACATACAATATTGTAATGTCATCAGTTGGCAGCCAGGCTTCCAAATAAGCTACCAGGTGTTGAAATGCTGGTGACCACAAGGGGAAAAAGGGCAACGTAAAAACAGGGCCACTGAGGGAGTAGAGTGACACCCCAAACTGCAAGGTCATGCAAGTGTTCACTGAGCAGCACCCTCACCCCTCTGAGAGGCTGTGGGCAATCATGTGACCACCAAAAGTATGCAAGCAGAGATGCCAGGATGCAGGTCTTCTCTTTCGGTTTGCCTCGTGTGTGACCGCAATAGCTAGCCCAGAAGGCAAACGTTTACTCCTCATGACACAGCAAGTGTGTTGCATAGGGTGTCTGAGAACCAGTGGGGTAAAGCATCTGGGTGAAGGATGCACTAGCCAGAGGATGGGAAGCAGGGAGCTTGAGAGTAACGGACGTACATAGCGAATGTAGCCTCAGAGGAAGTAGTAGAAATCTCATCAATAAACAGATTGTAAATAGATCTCTTGTCTGTGTCTTCATTTTTATAACACAAAGGCACAAACAGGGTTATTTACATGGTGGCAGTGGTCATCAAACCCATGCAGGGGGGCGCTGTTTAAAAATTTAACATTTTTCAATAGTGCAGCGTCAAAAGTTCCCAGGTTGGGGGAGGAAGTATGTGGTTACGATACTCATACATCGGTACTTAGATGAACTGTTGAGGGCATACTGGTGTAGTAAGGCACAAGGTTATTTACATTAGTAAAGGCATAGAAGGGGAAGGATCATCAGACCGATGAAAGACACCATTTCAAACGGGAATGATGTAAAAATATATTAGCCATTTTAATTTTGACCAAATTTTAGTTTTTTGCTAGTTTTTACTCAAACCTGGTTATGTTGTAACATTCTAAATTCAGAATTTAAACTCGACTGATTTAATAAGTATAGAATGTAGTATTATTATGAGAACTTCTGAATGTTACGTGGCATAAAAGTGACGGTGCAAGATTTCCTTGCCACTCCACCCTTTGTGAGAAAGCCCGCAATGAAACACTAACCATGCAATGCTATGATATGATATGTTATGCTTTCTAAACCGTTTTCAAACCAACACAGTATTGATTTGTAATGATGTGATGCTTGACTTTGTTCTTTCAAAATCTGTCTGATATTGTAGTTAGTAATGCTACTGAAGAAATTGTTCATTTAGATGAACATCACCCTCCACACTAATTGACATTGTTATAGAGTTTGATATCAAACTGCTTACAGCAATAATTTTTCTACATCTGATCTTGTTTCCATTACTAATTACTTTTTGTATACTAATACAATTACTAATGCAGCTGATTTCATCAGTGTTAGATGAATGTTGCACTCCTAGAAGCATTGGGAATGTCTCAGCAGGAATCTTGGGTCTAATATGTACATCAGTTTTGATTTAATTTACTTTCTTATAGAGGCTAATGGCATGTTACAAATAGATATAATAATTACTTTTCCCATACACTTACTTTCTTTTAAATGACAAGGTATGTTAATGCTATGTCCACATAGTGGTACAACAGGACATCGAATTAACTTGGAGCACTTTTTAGTACATTCTTGTCCACATCTCAGTACACACCCATGGCCACAAGGAAGAAGCCTCTGACAAGGCTGTTTGCAAAGTGCTTGATCTGGTATTTCACAGCATTTTATTAAGATATAATGTCCACATGATGGAATAACTTTCTTTACCTAGAACAAAATGTGATTAAGCAATCAAACATGGCAACTGTTCAGGAAACAAATATCATCAGTTTCTAGATGTACAGCCTTCGTTTAAGAAAGAATGAAGACACTGAAAGGATCAGGCATAAAATAGGAAATAATAATAATAATAATAATAATAATAATAATAATAATACCAACAACATTAACCCAATCAGATTGCAGAGATTGCTAAGGCAGCAGTGCTGTAGCGGTCTCGGACTAGAAGGTCATGGGTTTGAGTCCTGCCTTGGGCATGGGTAAGTATGTGTGTGTTGTTCTTTCACCCCACACTATTATCATTTCATCTACCATAAAGATAACTCAGCAGAAATGCTGATCCCCCCCATTAAAAATGCACATGCATACTCCCAGGAAAATTGCATCTCAACTTCAGCACCAAAATCAAATATGGTTATTTTTCACATTTGAATTTTTACTTATGTTGTGATGGATTTTCATTTCTGTGACAATTTCTTTATCATTATTTGTACTGATTGTTCTATGTCGCTCATGGCCAATTTCCTAAAATAAATTTTCTTTAACAGCCTTTTCCACTGATTCATTTTTACAACTCTTATTTTGCTTACTTATTTCTCATTGGCTGAACAGGTGACTAATATTATCAAATTGCTTTTCAATGACTGCAAGGATGATTTCATGTCAATGTAACCCTTACATTGCCTGCAATGTTGCATTCTGTATGGTTTCACTTTCAAGTTTTTCATTTAATATTTACTGCTCCTTGATATTCTTCCAGCACTTACCAAACACTAATAAACAAGAAAACTTGAAGATTATCCACTGCAAAACATTTCTCAATTTTTCCTGCAAGTTTTGTGGCCCAATTCTTGAAAAGAATTGCAACACGCTTTATAAATAAACTACAATTTCATCTTGGCTGACACATACACTGACTCTGCAGCACAAATGACAGAAAGAGAGAAATTGAAGATTGAAAATCTAAGGGTGTAAAGTTTATTTACAAAAAGTGTGTTCCCTTCCTGTGAAGTGAAGGTCCAGGACTCCGCTGACATGTCACAGGCACTCATACTACTTCGGATACAGACATCACGAATCCTTGGAACCATGCCCGTCAGGAATTTACTAACAGTATTTGTTTCATGATGAAAGGGAGGTATAGAAGAGAAATCTCAGTATATAGCATGCATCAGTAGATAAACAAATGTTATAATGCTAAAGGATATAAGGTCCCAGCAAGAATTTTCCGTGGTATCTGCAATAGCTACTGAAAGAAAACATTAAAAAAAGGAAAGAGAGAAATATAAAAAAGAATATATCAATATGAAATATAAAATTAAAAAAAGTAAAAAATGTTTGAAATATGTGAAGCTAAGGTTGAAAATTCCATTTTTTGTCTATTTGACATTGAACCACCTAGAGGATAACAGAAGCCCCAGCTTGCAGGTCTAAAAGTAATTCTGTACCACCCTGAGAATACATACAGTTTACTATCACTTTTGCAGCTAATGGTTACATTAGTGTTTAAGAGAAAGAGACAATGGTGAACAGAGAAAAGGAAAGTAAAAGTGTGTATTCCAAATGATTTAACCTTTCATCCGCAGAAATAAGGGGACCCTGTAATTAACAAACGAGGAAATGTAGGAAAAGACCTTGTTCATTTTTGGTAAATATGACATTAATAATGTAAATTCTAAAGAACTATATGGACAGAAATTGTTAATTTTCACTACTACAGTATAAGAAAAAATAGCAGCAAACAAATAATTCACATCAAATTATTTCAAGTGTTCTTTACCTTCACTTGACAACCACCACAATCTTCATAACACTTTCTTGGACATGCATGTCCACACATCATGGTTTTAGTACACTTTTTAGGGCATTGAAAAGTTGAAGGATCCTTGCAACAATTCATTCTTTGAACATGATTGCAATTGGGTAGATTTTTCTCAACTTCGTAGTTGCAAAGGCCACATTCTTCAAAACATCGTTTTGTACACTGGTGATTCATAGTACAGCCGGCATTTGTTTTGGGACAGGGTTTACAGCACTTATACTGAAAATAAATAAAATTAGGTAGTAATAATAGTGGAAAATAAATTAGGAACAGTACAGTCACTGAGGATCTTTAAACACTATAGAGCATAAAATTTTTAATCTTGAAAAACGTGATTTAACTGATAATATTTTTTCATCCGATGCAAGTTAATGGCTAGTAATTCACATACTTTAAAATTAAGTTTCTTCCCAAAAATATTTATATCATTCCTACCAAACTGGGAAAACATGATGAAAATGAAATGTACAGATGAAAGATATCGAAACGAAGAACTCGGCTAGGAACGTTAAATTCAAAAGTGTGAACTTGAAAATGAAAACTACTTTATTCTCAAAGAATTTTAGACAATATACATACCTCCAAATGGTCTGGATCCACCATGACATGGCATTTTAAAGTGCAACTATGCCCACAAGGTAACCTATCTGGGCAGGGAACTGAACAGGGATATGTGGCAATATCTCTGTAACATGGCTTAGTAACTTTGTGCTGACAATTTGGAAGTTCCACTTCAACTTTCTCTTGACAACGATATTCCTTGATATTGACGTAACATGGTAATGTCTTCACATGACCACAAGGAAGAATTCTTTCAACAAGTATTTCACAGTTCCCACAAGGTTCATAGCATAATTTTCTACATAAATGTTGAAATTCACAATCTTGTGGAACCCTGAAGAAAAAAAGTTGTGTTTATAACATAACATGTTTATTTACCGGAATTTCAACGGAAATACACATTTTGGGGTGCCCAGATACCAAAATGTGTTTCTTTTTATCAAAACGTTCGTCTGTCTGTGAACTCTTCTAGCACCTAAATTATGCATAGGATTTTTTTCAAATAGAAGAAACCCAGAAATCCCTGTTCATGTGGATCAAGTCAAAACTTTGAAATTTTGAAAAATATTCTTCAAAATTTGGGGGTACTTTACATAAAGCTCTCCGGACATTTTCTCAAAAACGCCTCCAATTTCTTCTTTTTTTTTATTCAAATTTAATAGTAACATACACTAATAAACATGGCATGGGTCTGATTTTCATGGTTAACTCTGAATTTTCTTGAAAAAACTTTTTGAACATTTTAGTAGTTTTCACGCAATAAGTGCAATTAAAAAAAAAAAAAAAAAAAAAAAAAAAAAAAAAAAAAATTCTCAAAAACGGCTCCAATTTGTTCTTTAAACTTTTGGTAGGGATAGTGCTAAATGTACTCTATAAGATGGCATAAACTCTATATTGCTCTATTCTTTTGTGGTTTTACAAATTACGAAAATGTAATTTTTTGACTAGTCTCTCATGTCATTAATATTTATATTAGTGACACTTTGATCACATTTTTCTGAATGAACGGTTTTCTGAGAAAACTAGCTCAAAATTCTGCATTTTCAGAAACGATCAAACGGTATTTTTACAATAACGTAATAATATTAATAGACGTAAAGTACTTTTTTATTTTTCAAAAATTACAGAAATGTAAATTTTTTGAAAATCTCTCACGCTGATGATATGCACATTTCCAGCACTTATTGCGTGATTTCCAGCGCTTATTGTAAATACTATTGTATTTGTGAGTCAAAGTACTTAAAATGTTTTCAAATTATGTTTTTCGAAAGTTCAAAACTTTTCAGTGAAAAAAAGTTTCAAATTTCGGATTTACAGTAGCGCTTTTATTAGGCCACTTTTTATTAAACGGCCCCCATTTTTTTAAAAGAAAATTGCCATTTAGTACATGGTTTTACTGTTCTTTAATAATTTTAAAATTATATTTCTGCTCCACAATCAGGAAAGAGAAAAATTAAGAAATTGTCAAAAAAATGTACTTTGGCCGGCGAAAGATGGCAGCTGGCAAGAGTATTTGGCAAATCCGAGTAGCTAGCCGAGACCAAAGGAAATAGAAAACTAATACGGGAAAGTCTGTGCCATTCCGTAGAACCACTAGTTATAAGTGTGTATTCCTCTCTTCAAGCCAAAAATTTTGAGCAATTTTTGAAAAATTTTCGAACATGTCATTTATGGCTTAATGTGAAGCTAGTTGGTTTGATGAAGTTGAAATATCCATTTCTGTTTACTTATTTATTTATTAAATGTCAAAAAACAATTAGTAACTGAGTGTAATGTACTATGAGGAGACGTGCAATCTAAACAATGTTACTTGAAATGAGTTACTCTGCCCACACTATTACACTTAATAAGTTGAATTATGAATACTGGTTACATTATGTTTCAGATCTGCAAAAACAAAACTTTCTTGGTTCTGGCAGATAAAAATGAGAAGAGCAAATGGTTCCTCCCAATAACATCTCAATATAAATGGATTTCCCCACATCCAACAGACCAAATAGAAACAATTGTGGTCTTCCCTTCTAATACATCAAAGCTTTGGTTGAGCCAACATCAGTTTTTGGGAAAAACTGTTAAGAAAATATTCATTTTCAAGTAATAAAAACTATTTCCTTAAGCAAATCCACTACGGATATAGGTTATTATCCCTTATCATGTCCTTCATGACTGAATCTACAGACAGTTGTGAGAACGTGAAGAATGACTGTTTGCGTAATTACATTTCGTAGTAAGCTCAAGACAATGTGTGCAGACGGTGAAGTTACATTTAAGTCCAGAAGTAAATCAAGGAGCCATTTCACCTTTGTTCAAAGGATCAGGGAAATGGATGAAGAAACCTGATTGAAATGGAGGTCATTGACCCAGATGTTGAGGTACAAAACTTGTTACAGGGTGATTTAGTCTGCTCCAGTGATGGATTGAGTAGCTCAGTAGCCACCACTGCTGCTCCCAAGGAAGAGGGTTGGAGCAGTAGACCTGCAACCCTTTTCCTGTAAAAAACTTTTTGAGGTGCATTCTCCTTTACACAAAAGCCATGGAAGCAGACAATGTACCAAAAACTATTTTGGCAATGGAAACGGACTCTCTCTATTGGCATTCGTCTCTATATGAAAGCTTTGAACGTTGACAGAAAGGGCTATCTCCGTTGGCACATGGAATGTGCAAGATTTGGACCGAAACAGACAGAAGTTGTGGAAGAAATAGGTAAACTGAAAACTAGATATAGTAGTTCTAACAAATACCAAAAAGAAGGGACATGGAGCAGACGTTCTAGGAAACTACTATCACATCTAAAGAATAGAATCAAAATCACATTTTTGAAATTATAATAAATGGTTCTTCACTGCAATTATTTCTTTAAGAATCTATTCGTTGGATGAATGGTCAAAACTTTTCTCTATTTTAATTGAGAGTGATGGACAAGAATGTAGTATAATAATATTATAGATCCCGTCCCTCCTCCAGGGCAAATTTCTTACACGGCTCACCAAATGCAAAGCCTCTTGAACAAACGATATTTATTAAGAAATACATTTTTGCAGATATTTTGGCTGTCATCTGGTTTTTCACGTTCTCACATATATACAATCTTTGTACACAAGTTTAGTCAAGAAATTAGATCCACACTACTTCAAGTATAAAAACAATATTGCATTCACAACTACTGAGGGCGTCCATCCAATCATTCAATTTTTCTGAAATTTCCAATAATAATGTATTTTATGAAATAATGATTGAATATTGATAACAATGTTTCAAACATTTTCTGTGCTTTTTTTATTCACAATCCACAATTGGAACTAAAAAAGTCATGCTTCATATTAGATAATCCCCCAATAGTAAACCCCCACAGAAAACAAATTAATTATTAAATGACAAATTATTACTTATTGTCATTGCATCATGCACCTTAAATAACACACAGAATGATTGTTCATTACATACCGTTCACATTTCTTATAACATTTGTACTCCTTGTGTTCTCGATTGTTCACATGGCAAACACTCTCACATTGGTGCCCACACTGCAATTGTACTTCGCAGAGCAGAGAACATCCACCTTCTGGAACTTTCTTGAAGTCCTCTGCACAGTTTACTAAAGTTTGTTGATCATGGTGAATTTCACATTGTAGGGTAAGGTGGGTTCCATAAGATTCTTGTTTCATCAGAGAATCTTTAATCTTGGGCCATATTTTACTGGACTCCACAAGATTGTCCATGTTTCCTAAAGAGATATTGTTACAACAGTAAGTATCTGTTAGGCTAAAACCAGATTTGAATGATTATAATAATGTATGTTTTAGTTGGGCCTGTGTCCAGCACCTAATTTTTTTTTTAAACTATAAACAAAGAGCGTTAAAAATTAGTACTAATTGCATTCATAATTTAGGAATGTGAACAAAGAACAAACCTTAACCAAACAAAAATTGAACCTTATAAGTGCCGATCATCTCTATGTATAAAAATGGATATTAGTTCGACCTAGATCAATAAACATTAACTCTGTTTGACCGATCTCCATGAAACTTGTCTTTTGTTAGTGTTTTTCATGGAGAATGATTTTATGCTGTTCACTTTGTTGTATCTCTCCACTAGATGACGCTGCAGCACGAGATGACGCTTCAGTTAAATGCAATTCCCCATCCACCTGGGCTTCATTGTTGCTCTGCGTTGTTGTGTGCCGCAGGGCAGAGGTTGAGCAAAACAGGACGAGTGAGTGTGGCGGGATATAGACGGGACGAAATTAATACAGAGTTAGGAGACTCAGTAAATCAGTAGTATTTGCAAAAAACATTGAATTCAAATGCGTGAAAAAAGGATCCAGTATGGAACGATTAATGAAATGAAAATGCAAGGATTGTGGCAAAGAAATGCACAAAATTGCACATGATCTGAACTGGCTTTTGAAACAAGCAGAAAATGAGGAAATGGAAACAAACATTCAGAGTAATGACAGTGGAGGTTTTGTTTACCACTTAATGTAAATTGCACTTATAGATTTACAAAATACTTACAATCATTGTTTCTTAGGAATTTATTGTAATAGTTTTCATTTAAGACATTCCATTAAAACATACTACATAATTCTATTTCAGCTTCACCTTTGTAACCCAAAGGAAGTTTGTCATCTGCTATGTTACAATCAAAACATGACAAAGAAATTGATAATAAAATGTTAGACGTGGTTTGTAACAAGGAACAAGAAAATATTGCAAAGGAAGTGGAGTATAAAATGCTTTGCTTGTCAATTGACATTTGGTCCAATGTACACAATGATCCCATTGATTACTCTAGTGTAACAAATCAAAATTAAAAAACGTAACTAGATGATACTATTGATACACCTGGTAATACACAGCTAAATATTTAGAAAGTGTTTCAATGGAGATAATCAATAAAGAAGAAAATCTGTATAGCTGCATCATTGGTGGTATTGTAACCAACAACACACCTAATTTGGTCAGAAGGAGATGCTTCTATGCCACTTTAGACTGAAACAGAGTTATAATGCAGAATGTATCTATGGGTTACCTAGAACTATAAGGAATCTAGAAGAAATTGCGTATTACTCTGCTACATATTCTCACAAATTATTACTGCCTTTAGATTCAAACCTGAAGGCTGTATAAATTTTAATTTTTCTAAAACTTGTCAAATACAAATTTTTACTAAATACTTTACAAATACCTTTGAAACTACATTCCTTTGATCCTTAAACTTCAAAACTACACTCCTACAAACACTCATAATACTTCTAGCAAAAGCTCTTTAAATCAAGAGACTAGGTAATTAAAAATTTATATTACACACAAAACATGAACAAAGAAGAGGTACACATTTCACTTGGTAAACTCAATGATAACCTGAACAAAATATATGAATGTATAAATTACATTAAAAAAGAAGATCAATAGACAAGCAGTCATTAAAACCCTGACGCTGGCATCCAGTAAACAACAGATATGCATTTACTAAGAATCTGCTCCCCAAAATTGCATCAGAAACAGTTCAGAGAGCAAGGAAAACATTAAATGACACACCCTCACATTGTTTTGATTTTAGCAGCCTGATAGGAATTATTCCTTTATTGTGAAACTCCAAGGTTTTCAGTTACTGGTATTTTTAAGCCCAGAGCCACAATAATTGATAACTTACATAATCATGCTAGTTATTTCACAAAGCAGGACTAATTGGTTGGAGTGATATAAACTGTGGCAGTGACTTGCAACAGAGGAACACTTACCAAAAAATACAAAAGACTGGGCAATTATTTCCATTATATAGATATTTCTAAATTAACAAACACAAACTCATAGTTAGTTTTGTATCTTTTTGGGGGGGGGATTTATTTATGGAAGTGAAAATTTTTACATACAATTTTAATCTGAAAGTAAGATGAATATTATTACAGCCATTCAAAAATTGGCGATAAACATGAAATAGGAAACATCCATTGATGCACTCCACTTAGATCCCTCATAATAGAGAAGGGATTCTAGAGCTCAGGAAAACATGTGCAGCCATACACATTATATTTGACTTGTCATACACATTGTATTTGTGACTTAAAACATATTATTCCAATTATTATTTACAACTTTCTCCAAATTGTGGACTAGCATTGTGCTCTCAATCCCTTTAATTTCTAATTAATTTCATTCCTGCAATTTTCACCCCTTTAAAATGGGCTGCTAAAGGTAAAATATTGATATCAAGATTTACAACCAAAAATGATATTGTAAGATAATTTTGGTTCCATAAAGAATTTTTTTTTCACTAAGTTTTTATCATTTGAAAATTATTCTTCTCCTTGCATTTCAGTTTCACTCATGATATTTTTTTTCTCTATCCCTTAATAAAGGATTTCAAAATTGTTTCGCTGCAAAATACATTGTTGTTTAAATTAAAAACAGGTTTTAATAACATCTTTATTTTATAATGTCTGTATTATTCTAGGCCTCTGTGTTTTTTACCACTATACAAAATAAACAATTTAATTTTTTTGAGTCCAGGTCAAGATTGGTACCACTTTTTCTACTTCTATACCCATAAGTTTTCTGGAACTCTGGACTCGTTACCCCTACTCCTTTACCGACATTAGTTGAATTAAGAATAAAAGACATCAATAAGCACTGTTGACAAAACTCTGACAACCAAAAACATTCATCCATATACTACAATCTCCTTTCCATCGAAAAACAAGCCACAAATTTGATATAACAGTCTTGTTATCGAAATAAAAAAAATCCTCCACTATTCTCACATCTAGCGAAAAGAGGGGTCAAGAAAAGGTGCATGGGTAATGCATACATTTAAATATGCTACCTGTCATTGCTATCAAATTTCATTTAGAATAGGTTGGCTGTATTGAATCTCAACCATTTTGAACAGTTTAGAGCATCTTTGGATGCTTGCATTACGCCTCACACAACATATCATTTTACAAAATTACTCTCAAAATAAATGGATCATGAAGAAATGGCTGTTTTAAGTAAAACAAACAATGAATTTATAGTTAGCATATTATACTTCTGAGGCAGAATTATTTCCATTGTAGAGATGTTTCTATTATATATATATGATTGGTTCTGTAATTTTATTTGTAAATAAAAAAATTCATAAATTATTAATGAAGGTCTAAATATTGTAAATATTATTTTTACCTGAATGTTATGATGAATTGAATCACAGCTATTCAAAAATGAGCGATAAACATGGAATAGATAACACCCATTGATGTACTACAGACTTTTCCAAAGCGTTCCTTAATGACTGCTAATCAGAAAGCTTCATTTGAAGTAAGAAGCGAACAAATGAGTGATAAGAAAAGTATTAGCGTTAAGACATAAAATATTTTATTGCTTATTTTTTTGCTATGTTACCTGATACATAAAAAACTTTAAAATTGAAGAGTGCAGGATACAAAAACAGGTTTTGCTTTCTTTCTTTTCTGTGCACCCTTATGTTGATTCTGAGCATAATAAGAAACCTTAGACACTATACGTATTAAAGTAATAAATTGTTAAATATGTCATAAATTATAAGAATTACTTACCTACGATGTATAATCCTTCTTTAGCTCTTGACAATGCTACGCATACACGATTTTCAGTGCTTAAAAATCCAATTTTTGCATCTTTGTTGCTACGTACAAGAGATAACAGAATAATTTTGTTCTCCTCTCCTTGATAATTATCAACTACTGTGACATTTACATCACACACTATAGAATACTGCTTCTGTTTCTATTAAAAAACAATAAAAAACAACATAAACAGCTGAAGAAAGGAATGTCATAAATTGATAATACTTTAAATGCTATCTATGACGGATCCTCTGTACGAGGGGAACCTTTAATGTTTAATAAATAAATCTTGGAACATAAATGATTTTCAATAGTAATTTAAGAGATCTGGAAGTGAATTTAATCTTTATTCATTTTAATTATTATTTACAGAATTATCTTCAGAGAAGTATAAGAAGAGGCATGTCCTATTATTTGAGACAGGATTTCCATGCAGAAATAGATTTTTATGTAAAATAACTATAACTCTTGAAATTTGTAAATATGTTTCATGGTAAAAGAATAGGCTTCCACAGATGGAGTCAGTATCTACTAGCTTGACTGGGAAACACAGTGTCTTAAGTACAGTCATAAGTCACATACAGTTTTTACCGTTTTTGATCAAATAAATAAATCTAAATCTACAGATGCCAACATTTTGACTGATATGCTGTGACCTTCTGCATATTGCCCTGAGGAAAGTTAAGATGACAGCCAGTTGGCATCTGTGACTAGAGCGAGACCAATTTTCGACAGCCAAGTAGATACTGTGTTTCATAGCATAATAATTTTAAAAATGAATACTTTCTCTGGGTATGTTTGCTGGTAAGATTTTGAAAAATTTCACACATAGTGCATACTTATATTTTTTTTGGATTATGTAACACTCATGTATGGGGGTTTATTATCTGTGTTAAGATGATTTCATTTAAATTCTTTTATATATTTTATGTAAGCATTAAAATTAGTTCATATTATGCATAAATAGAACATTCCTAGATTCTAAGAGGGGACAGATGATTCTGTTGGTAATTGGTAATTTGCACATCTCACAATCACAAAATTCTCAGAAGTTTAAAAGTATATCAAATACATCCTCTTTGTGTAAAGAGAAATTCACATTCAATATTTCCTTCATTGGTAGTGGAAACTGAAAAACATGCAATTGCATTATAGTGAAATGTGAAAGGACCTAAGTGGGAGGCTACTAGCCAACTGCAGACAGGTAGTGAATAAGCCGACTACTCTGCCATGAGAGAATCTGTGAAGTTCTTGGTTGTTCTGTGTGAAATTATGGGAAATTTCCAGTGAGATCCGACATCATCCAACTAGTAGACAACAGAAAGGTATATTCAGAAATCACATTCCACATAATTGTGCGCATTTGGCTTCTTGGTAGAACTGTTTTAGATTCAATAGTGCATGAAAATTATATCTTTACCAACGACTACAGACTGAGCAATGTATTTTTCCTTTTGTACCTGCTTCTGGTGTCTTTTTGAGTTTGCTTTTCTGGACATTTTTTTCAAATATTTATCTTGGTTCAATTATGAGAGTTCTTGTTTTCAATGTTTTCATCATATAAATGGTGACCAATTTTTATTATTTTGTTTCACTAGCAAAATTGTATAAAAAATAAGTATTTGTTTCCTAATTAACTACAGGCAACCTTCCAACAATTTTAAAGAATCATTGTATTCATCCTTGGACAGATTTTGTTATATCATTAAAATGTTCTTACTTGTTTCATGTAGAACATTTGGCCTTTGTATGTTACAAGAATAGTGATTTCTTCAGGCTTATAACCTTGCCAAATTAAATGACGGCAAAGTGCTAAAATAAAATCTGCTTCATAACAGTTTTTGTGGCTCATAATTTCATCTACCTAGGGAAAAAAGAATTTAGCACATTATGAGAAGAACAGTAATCTTTATAATAAAGCAAATTATTGAGTTTTCCACTCCATATTATATGTGAAACTAGTGGAGGTACAAGAGGAAATACTTTCTTGTAATGTCTGTTTCAAAGATAATATAAAATTACAAATTATATCCTACTTATTCTTCAGACATCTTGTGAAACTCTCTTCACAAATTTGAATTTGGAATATTTAAAAATCTACAACTTTTTAACTTTCACTGCAGTCTGTAATGAAAATCAGACTTACACAACATTTATTTATTAGTGTAATTTCCTCTTTCCAAGAACAACTTACTATTATTATTTTTAATTAAACAATTATCCCCTGTAAATTGTTGAAATTGAATATTAACCTTTCATACTGGCAAGCCACAGGTACATCCCCTCATCCACTGTACAAGAGCATTCTAAGAGGTACTATACAATATATCCAAACAAAATTCTCTTGGTTTAACTTGAAATTATTCCAAGACTACTAATATTTTTAAAAAAATATACACGAAATACTTCAACCACTTAATGAAACACCCCCAAAAACCAAAGTGTTTTTGTGTTATTTTTCAAAGTTTGATATACTAGTTTTGAGCCTGGAAATAATATATTACACAATCACATAATATATATTAAACCATTTTGATAATCAATAAATACTCAAAAAACATTTATTTATAAATTTTTTACTATTTCTTCATATGTGCGAATATCTATGAAACTGAAAGAGTATTGGGCTTTTAAAATAAGAGTTACTTAAAACTCTAAATACATATCTAAAAACATTGTTTGTTAGCTACTGTAAAAGAGGGTAAAATTGATCAAAAATTTCAATTATTGAATGATGGCTTCACTATGTTATTCCAACAGATGGAAATCTAAAAGATTACGATGAATGGTTTTACGATTTCGTATCTGCAGTCTATGTTAGCAACTCATTATCTTTATGATCTGTACTAGCATTTAAAGATGATTGTTGAAACCATGAATTGTTCTGAATTAACTTCAACTCTATATCTTTATTTAAATGATTGTATTGATAAGTTTGTGCCAAAGAAAAGGCAGATGAAATTGAAGTTTCCTACATGGCCTAGGTGGAGAACTCAAAACTTCAATTTTTCGGAAGAAAGAAGCACACCTAGATTACAAGCAATAAACAACAGTAGTACAAATTTACTTATAACTGAACAATTAATTCATTAATTTTCCCTTCAGAAAAAAAAAAAAAAAAAAATTAAAACAACAGTCAAAAGAAAATGTACTTATGTATTCTCTGTGTTTGCAAAACATTCTAACAATAACAATAACTGTGTAGCAGTTAGTTTATGGTTGACACAAATGCATCAAAATATCACCTTTCTTTCAAATTAGTTTGATGTGTTACTTCCTGTCGATTGATTGTGATTCTGGGCATGCTGGGCACTTTGGTCATTAGTCCCATACGCGTATTACATGTTTTTTTCGTTTTGGGTGTGGCTGTGGTGTTCCCCTGCTGAATGCCGAGATCCGGTGCTGACCAACCATCGGTTAACGGTATTTTCCCAAACAAGGTATCCCCACCAGTGGGGCATCGCCCCAGTAAGGAAAAGCTCTAAGCTCCCGACCAGTTTCCCGGCATGTGTTGTAGTGTAGTGCGTGTTAGTGTAAGTGTGTGTAGGGGGTGAGCTTAGGACAAGGATGAGGTAGGAAAGACCACATACGGTCTGTGGCCCATATGTAATGGCTCCAGCATTCGCCTGGTGTTGATCAGAGAAACCTAGTAAAACTATCGACCCCTCCAGACAGCAACTGAATATGACCTAACTGACAAGCAGTCAGAGGGACTGCAGTGAGATCAATTGATGCCCCAAGCCATCTCTCTGATATACTCCTCATTCATTCGCTCCAATTTGAACTCGTCAATTTCTGTAAATAATTCACTTGTGTACATTGTTGCCAACAGTTTAAAATTATTATCAGTAACAGTAATAATACATAAAATTTTGAGAAAATAAGAAGTGATCGATTTTACCCACTTTTATGGTACCTCTATTATAGTAAATATAAAGTATCAGTTAAAATAAATAATTAAAGTTTTGGATTGGATTGGGAAGTTGAGAGATTAAAAGATGTAATATTTAGGAATACATTGCATTATGTAATCTGTGGCTTCAATGTTAAAGAGAGCAGTTTTGCAATTTTTGCAATTTTTTAATTCAAAACCTCTAATTATCTTAAATGAACTCATGGAATATATCAATACTCAATTACTGAAGGAATTAGCTTTATTAGTTAAAAGTTGGTATGTAGTTGAGAAATATTAGTAACGTAAATTGAATATAGTTTAGCGTATTTGTTGTATTTAGGAAATAATCTTTGTTTTACTAACCTCTTCTTCAGGAATATTGTGTGTGATGAAGAATAGGGATTTTGTTATTCCACGCACTGCAGCATAATTGTAAACTGATAGATCATTTTTAAGATCTGGATAAATTGTTGGTACAATTAGTTGTGCAATTTCAGGTCGCATGCGGTGCTGATTTTCAAGGCAATGGCATTTTAACCCATTATTAACCATTCTTTCAAACAATGAGATATCAAAATTGTATTGGCGGGCAAGTTTGTACACTGCAGGATTTGGTCGCAGTTGTTTATGATCACCTAATCAATCAGAAATTTCTCATTTAGTGCATGACCATGTCTCTTGAAATATAAAGACGTATCTCAAAATTTGACTCAAACACTTACTTACCAATGAGAATAACATGTTCACATTTATTAGTAAGTGAGACTACCACATGAGATTCCAATACCTCAGCTGCTTCCTCAATAATTACTGTAAGATAAACACCAATTAAAGTAAATTTGTCAGCAATTACATTCGACCAGCATTGCTTGCAAAAGAGTTCAGGTCACATAAGATTATGTTTTATTAGTTGGACACTCCTCATAATTTGTTCTAGTCTCAAATTAACATCAGTTTAAAAACTAGAAAACCATGTATAAAAGTTCAAGTTGAATGAGAAAACTATTGACTCAGACATTCTCTTAAAAACATGTTTCACTTTCTTAATTACCTATTCTGGGTTTCAATGCCTGCAGTAAGTTCTGCAACCTTGCTGCATTGGTAGTAGTCATTCCCACGACCAAAGCTTGCTGCATGACTTCAGCATTGCAGATTTGCTTGATTTCCTCAAACCTTTTTGCATAGTCTCTATATTGTTCCTCATTTTTATGTATTTTTTCCCTTAGAATGTTCTTCAAGGTATTTATCCAGTCCTTGTAAAGAAGCCATCTGCAATAATAATTGTGATTTTTTTCTTGGATTACATAGTAACTAGTACTGTGTTGGTAATCACATAACATATAATATGCAGAATTCAGGAATACATTAAGTAAGAAACAGAAGAAAATCCACAAAAAATAAGTTGATGGCAGTTTAGAACAAACAGTAAAAATCAAATTACACATTTCTTATTGTTATAACAGATACCCAAGAACTATGATTCAGCAAAATCAATGAATTTTTATTAAATTAAACTACATAATTTGAATGAAAAATTTGCATTAAGTATTTGAACTTAAAGAGTACATAATGTTTCAGTCAACTCAGTTAAAGTGATGTAACCACAACTCAAGAGAACTTGTATGTAGATATGACATCACAGAATTAATCAAATACTGTTTGCAAGAATACAACACCAAATGAACAATACTGCAAAAATAAACGTCAAAATAAAACAGGAAGGTGGGATGTAATGACATTTTGTCACCTAACTTAAGGTACAAATCTACATGCATCTACAGAAATAAGCAAGTATAAATAAAAAATACACCAAATTGGCAACTTTATGAAATGTGGATAGGACATTGAAATTGCCTGAACGGAATGACATGTAATAAAATTCTTAAACTTCATATTACAGAGTAATAATAGTATTTGTATTATTTTACCTGTCTTTCACATTAAGTTGCCATATATTTCGAAATGAATGCAGTCTTTGAACATAGGCAGCTTTAGAGTGATGGTTCATTTTTAAACAGGTTTGCAAATATTTCAAAATCTCCTGCTGATACAAACAATTTTCTTCCTCTAACCTATATTCAGGAGCCAACGGTGAATTTTTATATGTTTCAGAAATGATTTGAAATTTCTTTATCCTTTCTTCTAAACTTTGTAAATCAATTGCATATTCTAAATTATGCGCAATGTCGCCCAAATCAAAAAGGATTGGGTCATCTTCTGCAGTGTGCCAAATTTCATCTTCTTCTGCAGCTCCTCCTCCAACAATGTCTTCATCTTCAACAATACCTCTGTCCTCTTGAATATCAAAAACACTGCCATAATATTCTTCAAAACCTTGCATTAACCATTCTTGTAAAATTTCATCTTCTTTTGCACCCTGTGCAAATTGAAAATAAAAAGCTCTCACAATTATTATAAAAATTAAAATATACTTTAAATAGTATATGCATATAAGTTAATAGATTTAAAAAATGAAAATTAAATTATTGTTTTCTTGAAAGTAATTGATCGCTAGTATAAATCAAAATTAACTTAAATTTTTTCAATATATACCATGACATATAAGTACTATTTAGATTTGCAATTTTTTTCCAAAATGAGAAGTTATAATAGATTTCATACTTACTCTGCATTCAAAACAATGCATCTGTTGTGAAGAAATGATTTGATGTTGTTTTAAGAAAGTAACTGACACTATTCCCCTATGTTTTTTAAGTTCTTCCAAATTAGCTTGATATATTCTTATAAATCTCATGAGTTCAGTCATCATGCAGTGATATTCTCTTTTCAAATGGGCATTGGCTTTTCTAAAATTGAAGACTTTTCTTTTCTCTCTTAAGTTAAATTTGCTCAGCACAGCACTCTTAGACTGACCACCCACACGAACAATTTCCTCTGTTGTTGAGATAAGTCCTTCCAAGAATTGGTCAAGAGCATGATTTGTGTAACACACAACTAAAATTGGAGATCTATGGATATTCCATATTGGAGTATTTTGTAGTAATGCCTTTGCAACTTTCAAACCTAAGAAGGTTTTCCCAGTTCCAGGGGGTCCTTGAATGACTACAAATTCCTCAGTGAGAGCAGATTTGAATGCAGCCAATTGTGACTTATCTAGACCCAGTTGTTCTTTACTTGGCCAAGAATGCTCATTCAGAACTTGAATGTCAATTTCATCAACAACATAAGTAAACTCTGGTGATTGGAGTAAATACTTAGGTGGAGGACTGTCTTTTTGAACAAATATTATGTACTCCTTCATTGGAAATGAATTTTCATTAAATCCTTGCAAGGCTCTCATTACATGTTTATATGGTTCAAAATACACCTCTGATTCAACCATGAGAAAAGGAGATTCATAAACATTAAGTTTTTCACTTTGCTGATGAAGATTTACAATAATTTCACCTTTTCTCAATCCTCCAATATCTCTCTCAAGAATGGTACCAAATATTACATTCTTGAAATTGTCATTAGTAAAAAGGAGTAATGATCCAAACATAAATCTTTTGGAATATTCCCACTTAATTTTCATTTTCTTTTGCGGGTCAAAATGCACAAAAATGCCAATCAAGTCATTTACAACTTTAGGGTCTCCAAATGTAACATTTTGATATATTCTTATATTATCAATTCTGTATTTTTTTTTTTTATCAATAGATTCATCCAAATATTTAGCTAGTCCTTCTCGCAGTGGTGCAACAAAATCTTCCCTCAGTAAACGAAACTGAACATCTAAGTAATGTTCAACATCAATATATGAACCCTCAATAATGTTGGGACGTAGGAAAGGTGTCTTTTCCCCAAAAAGATCGTCTTGGGTAGGATAAATACTTTTTTCTCTAAAATCATCAGGAGGGCGAGAAAATTTTTGGAGCTCATTTTTGCTAATTTCTGCAATGTTTTTTGTTTGACGTTCTTCAATCATACCCATCAATTGTTTATTTAACTTGCTGAATTGCTCAATTTGCTCTGTCAAGATTATGCGATGATAGTCCTCTACTGATTTTAATGTTATATTTGTAGTAATAAATAAATTTTTAAATTTGTCTGAAGCTGTATTTGGAAGTACATTTAATATTGTTTCATAATATACTAAAAGATCTGAGATAAATGCTCCCATTCCATGTTTTCTTTCAGTAGACTCCTCAATAGGCATATCACACAAATGCTTTTTAATATTTTCAAGAAATCGTGATTGACAGGTTTTTGTCAAAAGAGCATTTTTATTGAATGCAAAATCACATGAACAAGCTTTTGCCAGAACCTTTACAATTAAAATGAGAAGATCTGGCCTCAAATCTGTATTCAGAAGTTCTTCAAATCCAGAAGTTGGGTTAATTAAAAATGTGACTATTTCTGTGGGGGTGTTATTGCATAAATCTTGTAAACGTCTAAAACCTAACTGTTTTATAAAATGACCTTGATGTTTACTATTTCCTTCTGATTGCATGGATTTGTAAGGCTTTTCATTTCGACCTTGAGTACTTTGTGATCGTTTCATTGGTCTATGTCTTTCAAAGGAATTACTTTCATCTGCTTCCTTGTCAAAAACACCAAACTGCCTTCTATTTAAACTTTGATTTCTAGGTTTCCCTTTCGGTTGTTGATGAAATGTTTTGTCTGGTCCAGTACCAGGAAAAAATTTCCTTTTCTTTCCACCATTCTGATATGCCTCAACATGATTAGAATTATTCTCTTTTGATGTGGATGCTCCTCTGTTTGTAGCTGCTTGGAAAACACCTCTTTGCAAATGATTTCTTCCATTGTTCGAATCTGTGTTATACTTGGAATTGGTTCTCCCCTCACGAGATGTATGTCTTCCTCTTCCACTGTCCTCTGCTAGTTTCAAATATAAATCATCGGTAATCGAATTTCCAATTCCAGCCATAATTCAAATTGGTGAAATTAAATTCTGTAAAGAAATTAAATACAGTAATCATAATCCATTAAATATTAAAATAAACTAAATAAATATTAGTCAGACAAATCAGTATTAATACTCAAATTTATTAATTATGCAACAAAATAAAATTGAACGACACACTCTGATGAAGCAATATTTTTTCTTATACATTTCATTTTTCAATTTATAATCTAGAATATAATAGTCCTGTAATTTAACAGTTACCCTGACAAATAATTTGACACATTTACCTGCAAAAATATCCTATTTTTTATCAACTCTTTTTAAACTTTTATTTGAAATAAATATGGTAATTAAATATAGTTGCTGAATTTGCATAATTTATAGATATTGAAATTTCTATATGTAAACAATAATTATCCAGTTATCTCAGGCATAGAGGAAAACACATTACTACTTTGCTATTCTGACTACCAAAATTGCCCCAATGATGAATGACTTTATATTCTTTTGTCACAAAAAATAAAATCACAGAGAATGTGTTAACATGAGTTTATTTCTTTGAAACTTTTACAACTGAAAGTTAGATAATAATTTATTTCGCAGGTATCAGTTTCATTTACATAAGATTTACTTAAACAAATTAAAAGAGATATTGCTAGACAACAACGTCATGTAGTTCAATATTGAACATAATGAACTACATGATTTATTTAAGATTTTCAATCTCCATGCACAGTTAGATACGTGTTACTAACCATTGCACCTCTACTATAGACCACATCAATACAACCATTGAAATGAATAAATACACTTCTTTTAATAGGCATTGAGTTTCATCTATTTGATCACACTACACAAATCATTGGAATAATCTGTTGTCTCATTAGCCTTGAAAACCTATATACACCTTAACCTCTGATACAAGTTTGATCAGAGATATGTTGGTTTGCACTGGAGAGTAGGGGGACTTGTGGGTAGGCACATGGTGGAAATAACACAACATATGCATGGTGGCAAATGGTTATTTCCATGGATAGACTTCAAGGAAGGAAGTCAGTACAGTGAGTACAAGACATTTGGAATAAAGCACACTGAATTGTGCTAAGTGTATTATTTCAACAGGGTAACGTGATGTCAGGAGTAAAGCTTTATGTACTTTTCCTTTGAGAAAACGATTGAAATTAGATGGTAAATACAATTTATATTTGGACAAGGGAAAGTAAAGTACACAATGCAACGTTAGGATGAATGCCGACAGCAATTTTCAAAATTGTATTGCGTTGCAAACTATGCTGAAACAGCAGATGCATACGGAATATAATCTAAGAATAATGCCTGTCTACAACTGATTGGAGAATCATGAAAGAGGTTACAGCAGCAAGTAGAACATCAAATATTGTCTTCACAGGCGAACCAGGCAGCCCTGACAAAACAAGAAATATCAATCAGTTTTCAATGGAATTGGATCATTGCCAGATGAAGTTTCTCTCAAAGTTAATGAGAAAAGAGAATCAGTGGTTCAACCAGCAAGAAGAGTGCCCATCAGTTAAAGGAATGATTTGAAGGAAGAACTTGCCAGACTGGAGAAAGAAGGAATCGTGACTCAGGAATACAACTATACTGATTGGGTGAGCAATATTTTACTTGTTAAGAAAAATAATAAAGCACTGAGGATCTGTATAGATCTGATACCTTTGAACAAAGCAATAAAGCACCCTTTCTTTCAGTTTACAACTCTTGATGAAATTCTACCAGAGATAGGAAAGACCTTTTCAACCCTAGATACAACAAAAGGATACTGGCAGATAAAATTAACAGAAGAGAGCTGCAAGCTCATGACCTTTTTTGAACCTGTTTGGGAGATACCGGTTGCTGAGGCTCCCTTTTGGAATATCATAGTCACCAGAACGTTTTGCAGAAAAAATGCTACAAATTACTCACAATGTAAGAGATATTCAAATATTAGTTGATGACATTCTAATTTATGGATGTGATGATTCTTTAGATGAGGCATTGAGAGATCATAACCATAATTTGCAGAATCTCTTAATACGATTCGAAACATCCCATTGCAAGATCAACAAAGATAAAACCAAGCTATGCTAAATATCTGTAAAATTTTTTGATCACATTTTGACAAGTTTACGATCTGACCCGGATACAACAAATTCAATTATAAAAATGCTTTATCCAAAGAATGAGACAGAGCTCCTTTGGTTTTTAGGTATGGTGACATATTTGAGTCAATATATTGAAAATCTGATCAAGGAAACTAGCATCTTGAGAAGACTTATGAGGGATGATGTAGACTGGTCTTGGACCAGTGAGGAAGAAAAGGCTTTCAAGAAGATAAAGAATCTGGTAGCAAATGGAGTCTCAGCAATATTTTGATGTTAACCAAACCGGTGTCTCTAGAATGTAATGCTAGCTCTACAGGTTTGGGGGTTGCTGTTTATCAAAGGATTTATTTATTGAAGGATAAAGTGGCTGGATATGCTTTTAGGAGACTCTCAAAAACAGAAAAATTTTTTGTTCAAATTGAAAAGGAGCTTTTGGCTATAGGTTTTGGATGTACAAGATTTAATTGACTATTGGCTGGAAATAAACAAATTATAATCAAAACAGACAACAAGCCCTTGATTTCAATTTTCAAGAAACCCTTATTGAAAGCTCCTAAAAGACTACAACTAATGTGGATGACATTACAAAGATTCCATCTGGAAGTACAATTTGTGAAAAGGAAAGAGAATGTGAGTGTGGATGCTTTATTAAGGGCATCTGTTGGAAACAATTATGATAAAGAAAAGCTGAAGTATAAAAATATTTTTGAATTAAAAAGGAATTCGCTAATATTTCAAACATTAGAGAAGATAGATTTGGAGAAATTATTGCAGATATTACTTGAGGGAGTTGAGGAAATTAGATCATGCTCGAAAAATAATTTAACAATGCAGAAACTAATAGATTATACCCAAAATAATGGGCCGAGATATTCTGAAGTAGAAGATTCATAAAAACTATTTGAAAAATACAAGAATGCACTGATAACACATAAAGATATCATCTATAGGACTGACAAGATATTAATTTCCCTTTCATTACGAAAGAAGATTTTGGAGAAATTACACATCGCTCATTCTGGAATAGAAGCAACTCTTGAACTGTCCAGGTATACAATTTTTTGGCCAGGAACGTTTACCCAGGTTACTCAGTACCTACAAGATTGTGAAGTCTGTATGAAATTCATGAACACAACAACATCCTCTGATGCAATCTCACAAGATACCAGAATATCTATTTCTGTTTGTTTCGATGGATGTTTTCGTTGCTGAATACAAGGGTTAGGAAAAAACATTTTGGTTACTCTGGATCACTATTCAGAATTTTTGAGCTAGATAAGCTACTGAATAGTGAGCTAGATTAGCTCAGAAAATACTTTAGTTAAAATCTGTAAAAAGAATTTCAGTCGCCATGGCATACCAAAACAGTGAGTTTAAATTGATAATGGTACAAACTTTGAAAATAAACTAATGGACAGTTTCAGTAAAGCTTGGGATTTTGAGTTTGTGACATCAACATCACATCACCAGAAAGGAAATGGTAAAGCAGAAGCTACAGTTAAGATAGTCAAGATATTAATTAAAATGGCTGAGAAGAATGGGGAAGACCTTTGCTATATTGGAGAAATACACCAAATAAAATAGGCTCTAGTCCTTCACAGATGATTTTTGCAAGGAGAACCAGAACATGTTTTCCTACAACTACAAAACACCTCAAGCCTGAAGTAGTGGAAGAATGGAGACGAAAATTGAAATGGCCAAGAAGAGTAGCAAATATTATAATGACAATAAAACACAAAAATCACCTGAGTTGGAAATTGGTCAGGGGGTAACAGTGCGAGTATATCCCGATAAAGACTTGACATGGACACAAGGGGTGGTTCAAGATAGATTTAACAAACCAAGCTAGAGTGAAAGATGTCATCCCCATTGATCTTTCACCACCATTCTATATGAAAATATTTGTGAACAACTCTGAAACCTGCAAAACTTTAAAGAACCAAGAACCATTTGAAACCTCAATACAAACTGATTCGAGTCTTCAATCAACACTGGATGCAAGACCCAGAAGAAATGTGAAGATGCCTTAAAGATTTGATGATTTTGTTCTTTACAAATAGTGTCTGGTTTATTTTTGTCCTTTGATCATGATATTGTATTCTTTTTTAGTATTTTTATACATAAGTTTATATTGTTATTAGAGTAATTATTAATTTTATTTTGTAAAATAAATAAATTATAAAAATGTTATCTAAAAATAACATGGAAGATGTTATGACGGTATGTACTGGAGAATAGAGACTTGTAAGTACGCACCACGGAAGGAAGTCAGTGCAGTAATTGTAAGAGAGACTGTGGAATAAAGCACACTGAATTGTGTGAAGTGTATTATTTCAATAGCCACTATAACAGATACTAAACTACAATTGCTAAATGAATGCCTTCTAAAAGAGGAATGGACAGATTGGATAGATTACAGGAATGGATATAAAACTTGTTCCTGACTACATTAAATCATCATTTGAATATTGCATGTCTCATTATTAAAAGGCAAATGAATGTAGCAAAGAAATCCAAAATCAAGATTCCTAACAAAATTCTTGTTCTTAGAAATAAAATCAAAGACATATATGACCTGTTCAGAGAGATACTAAGAAACCCTATAATAATGAGAAGTACAAAGTGTTAAAAACATTATAGGCTAAAACTGATGAATGAGAAAGCTAATCAATGAAATCATAAAGTTAACAGCTCAACAAACAAATCTAAAACAATGAGGAACATCATTAACAAAAGAAAAACTCAAACTCACAAAAGCATACACCTGCAATACAAAAGCATGTTCCTTGGTTATCCTTCTGATATTTGTAGGACCTTTAACTATCATTTCTTAAATTCAAAACAGGATAATAGAAATTCTTTATCTTTGGAAACTTCAAAATCTATGCTTCTCAATCACATGAATGCTACTGAAGTTAATTAATT